GGGGGGGGGATTAGGTGAGTATTTAAATGTAGCTGCAGCAGCACAAGTGCCACTGGTGCTGTAGTAATTGAGAACTGTTTACTGCACACTGGAACATCAGGAATGAAAACAAAGCTTCTTTACAAGGTCCTGCAGTAGAGTAGGGGGTCAACAGAACCACAATAGTAACCATGGTTTCTCTTAGTGTGTTAAATCTCACAACGATTTACTACGGTGTGTGAAATTTGGAGGGAAAAAGGGACTTCCCCAGACAGAGCCCTATCTAGTGGTAGAAGGGGAGTTTGAGGCAAAGGAGATGGTGTTTTTAAAGTAACAACATGCTCCATTCATCCATCTACTTATCCTGTTCAATTCATGATGCCATCTCAGTGTACAGGGTGAAGTATACTGAGTGTGATTTAGTAAAGACAACCAATCTTTGGAATCTACCACACTGCCCTACAGAGATACACATTTCTTACTGGAGAGCAACAAAATGAATCTCCAAAAACCCATTACTTCAGGAGCGTAAAACATTTCCTCAGAAACGTCTTCATAAAATGAACCTGAAACAACGTAATGAGAAACCCTTAACACCACAAATAAAAACTTCCTTACACAGCCATCAAAGAACAGTTTAATGTTTTAAACAGAATTGTCAGTGTCAACAAGATACAAAGGGTGCATCCGAAATTGCATACTTGTTTGCTATGTAGTAGGGGAAATGTACTGTAGTACATACAGTGAGCAGTACGTCCCAGTCCTCACTATGAAAGTGACAGTAGGCGAATGGTACCCGGATGAGGTACTACATTCTGCTGAATTTCAAAATGTATAACCAATGGAGTGGCCTTGTGGGATAGTGAAGTATCCATCGGTTACACTGGAGTGGCCTTGTGGGATAGTGAAGTATCCATCGGTTACACTGGAATGGCCTTATGACATGAACTTTTTCAATAATTTGTGCTACAGTAGCTCTCCTGTGGGATCAGACCAGATGGGCTGGTCTTCTCCCCACGTGTATCACTGAGCCTGTTGCTGGGTCACCAGTTGACCTTCCTTGGACCACTTTTGGTTGGTACTGAAGACTGCATAATAAAAGCACCACAAAATACCTGCTGTTTTGGAGATGCTCTGACCCAGTCGTCTAGCTATCACAATTTGACCTTTGTCAATATCGTTCAGATCCCTAAGCTTGTCTATTTTTCCTGCTTCCAACACAACTCCAAAAACTGACTGTTCACTTACCTAACATATAGTGGCACCCTTGACAGGAACGGTGCATGGTGTAAATGTTCACAATGCAACTGCCCCGGACACAATTTGAGATTCAACTTGGGATACATCTTCATCATATTTGCAGTGGTGAAATCCGATTTATTAATGTAGAAAAAATGAGTTCAATAACTTTGCCTTATTAATATTGCTACGCAACTGGTGTTAATGTTTCCGGGGTCATTATGCTTGCAGCGCATTTTCATTTTGTTTCAGCTTTTTCTTTTGTTTGTGTTTTTTAATTTGCAACGCAATTTCATTTTGTTTCAGCTTTTTCTTTTGTTTGTGTTTTTTAATTTGCAACGCAATTTCATTTTGTTTCAGCTTTTTCTTTTGTTTGTGTTTTTTAAATTGCAACACAATTTCATTTTGTTTCTGCTTTTTCTTTTGTTTATGTTTTGTCTCTAGGGGCCACCGTAATTCAGGCCTACAAGCAAGTCTTTAGTTTTATTTTGTTGTTTAAGACATATTCACCTGGATACTCTATTCACCATCACCCATCTCCCATTATCCAGTTATATCGAACTCCTCATCGGGTCAGAATACCTGAAGTCAGACTGCGACCGTGGTTACAGCCATGTCTCACGTGGGTTGGAGACATGTTCAGCGATGCATCGCATCGTGTCATGTCAAATCAGACTGCATTGCGATAACGGTGAATTGTACTGTATCACATCGCAATAGTAGTTGCTTTATATGCATCTATAATGTATCAGGTCATTGGCAATGTGCCAAGACGTATATCACATCATCTAAGCGATGCACATCCCTAGTGTATACAGATTATATATAGAGTATATTATTCCTGTGTGTGTGCGCGCATGTGCGCATATATAAAGATGTGAAGAGACGAATTCTCTCTACTGATTGTATAACACAATCCTCCCTGCCCCCTCCATCGCCAAAAGTGCCATTCCTCCATGCAGTGTCACTTGTCACATCTGTCCCAGGCAGACACCCCCGCAGGATGATATTAACCGAGACGTTACTCCAACGTGACAGCGCGACTCCTGTGTAATGTGTCACACCACATGAGCAGGGCAGCTCGGTTTACCCCGAATCTGGGTTAGCAGAAATTAATAGCGAACCATGACGGCCAGCATGGAGAGCGGGACACACTGATGGCAGTTCCCACGCTCGGGGGGGTCGGATTTGGCAGGAGCCCAGCAGAGCGCTCTGATGGCCCACTTTAGCATATTTATTTTCGGGTTCAGCCTCTTATGTGATCAGGCTGATTTCAGAAGCAGGTAATGCGGCTGCTGCTGTACTGGATCTCGTCAGGGATACCCAGGTTCAGGCTGTTATCACAGAGGTTAATTCTCACTTCGCAATGAAAGCCTGTCAATACACAAGCAGTTTGTCCAGTAGGACAAGCAAACCTCTGGAGCACCAAGCTCCATGAAACAGATTAATGAAAGCTTGGGGGGAACTCAGACCCCCCCAGTTCTCTAGGGGTGCAGTTTAAATGGCTGATCCTGAGCTTAGACCCCAAGCTTCATTCTCAACTGTGTGTCAAAGGCAAGACGGATGTATACGCAAAAAGAAGCGTTCCAATGTACTCATGCAAATGGCTGGAAATGGCAGAAGTGTGCAATTTTCCTGAAAAACAATGAAACCCAACAGAAAGAACACAAGGTGTTAAAAAGCAGTCCAAAGTCATTTCATATACATAGTCCGTAATTTTCATAGATTTGTATTGATTATAAACGTCGCCTCAGGGGCACAGGGCAATTTCATTTGAAATTTTACCACAAGCTCAATAGATTAATTAGTTTTAATTAATTCAGTCAATGACGTATTGATTGGCTATATGATATGTGCTAGTGATCGCGTCACCAAACACATGAGCCTATTGGATGGTTCCTGGAAATACTGGGGTGACTTTAAGAGGTTTTGAAATGGCTAAGAAGCCAGTTTCACAGCATATTATCATAATTTTACAGCAACATCATTTTCTTTGACTGCCTAAGATTTTTTGCACAATACTGTACAAATGAATGATGAGACGCTGAACATCTGAGGTTATAATATGGTTGATAAAAATGAGATACGACACATGGAAAGGACCAGCTGGCCAGTAGAAGCAGAACATGATTCAACCTCCTGAAAGCCTTCATTGGCTGGTTACGCCATAAGGTTCATCATCCCAGTCGATGAGACTAATGAGGAGACAGAGGAACCTGTGAACATCTGCATTCACTGTGCCAATAAGGGACCTCAAATCACTACACTCAACGCCAACAAAGGGAAACTAAATATTATACAAGGACAAGGAGTGGAATGCGGCCCAGAAACAATTACAGTTTAACGAGCTGTCCTCACACGTTGCCTCGGAAATGGGCAGATCGCCATGGAAATGAGAGGAAAACGTTGGGCCTCTGCACGCCAGATGATGACACAAATTAGAGTATCGGCACTGCTAATTACCTAGGTAGAGTGGGGTGACGTGACCAGAGAAGAGACGATGCCATTACACTCCTAACTTGTTGTTGGTCAGAGAAATCTCCAGAGAAGAAACTCAACGGATCCAATAATAATTGAATTTTAGAGTCAGCGATCAGCCCGCCATAAGAACTGGATCTTTGCGCAATGGTGTCGTTTCCAACCCACTCTGCAGTTTCAGTCGCATTAAAAATTGAGGTGCACCGATCTCACTTCCTCACTGCCATTATGATCCTGATAT